CGGCCGAGAGCAGGCTGGTAGTGTGGGGGATGATAGTTTGGTAGAGAAAGAAGTCAAGTTCTGGATATATTTTTACTTAATATTCTCATGTATATTGTTCTAAATAATACAGATTAAATGATGATCATAATATCTAAATTACATTAATGAGTTATTAGTTTTTATATTATCTGTACTATAGTATAGTTTTTTATATATTTCTTAAAATGCTCATGAAAAGTGTACATGTTATAGAAATGTAAAGTTTCTGAGCAAAAAGAATGAACATACATGCTGGAGCAGCAACCAAGTATGCAGTCTCATTAGAAGATTTTTTTTGCCTGAAAATGGATGAGGGCTCATTGTCATGTTAAGAGCATGAAGAAAATCTTAAGGTCTGTATAACTGACAGTTTGAGGGTCCGTTCCCTGTGGGCACTTTAAAGATTTTGCCCATTCAGAGATAATAGTTTATAGATAATTGTTTTCCCAGACCTCATTAGAAGGGCCAATTAAACGTGACTTGAGAACTGAGAGATTAAAGTGTCTGGGACAAGAATGTAGCCTCCCTCTGGGTCAGAATGGAAACCAATCCTTAAGAAATAACCTTAGCTCCATGTATCTAAGCTTTGAAAAATGCAAAAGGTTAAGGGAACAAACATGTACTAAGTATGTAACATGCCAGGCACTGTGCTAGGTGCTTACATATGTTATCTCATGTCACGTCATGTGGAAACTCAGACTTACTGGAGTAAATGATTTATCAAGGTTAGTACAGTTGAGTGAGTGATGGAGGCAAGAATTAAAATAGTGTGCATGTGTACAAGTCTGTGACCTTTTTGCTATATCTCACAAATGAAGTATGCACGCGTAACTCTAGGAAACTCAAAAGGTCAATGCTAGGAGAAAGAGTATAGATGGACACTGGCTGTTTTCAGGGTGACCCTAGAGAAGGGTCTCTCATAAAAGACATGACTGTGGTTTTTATACCTGGCCATGCATTAGAATCACCAGGGATGGGGCACCTGGGTAGCTCAGATGGTTAAGCATCTGCCTTCGGCTCGGGTCATGATCCTGGGGTCCTTGCTGGGCGGGGAGTCTACTTCTCCCTCTGCTCCTCCCCCACCCCCCGGCTCATGCTCTCTCTCTCTCATGCTCTTTTTCTCTCTCAAATAAATAAACAAACAAAAAAAAAGAATTACCAGGGATATAAATTTTTTTATTCTGAAAAAGACTTTCAAGTGACTTCCAAGTAGGAAGTCTATCATTAGCCCACTGTTCTATGCATGATGAAGAACCACCCAGAATGAGGGGTAGGAACAAAAAGTAACAACTGGAGACAACATAGAGCTTATAGGTAGCAACCTGAAACTCACTGGCCATGAGTAAAAAAAAAAAAAAAAAAAAAATCTGGGCTTCATGCAATTTGTATCAAATACAGTTTGTTCCATAAATTTTGTTTCTAAGTAACTAATAATCTTTTTGAGATACTGAGGTGTCATTCCCTACATTATGGAGGTTTCATGGAATCAAAAAAAAAATGGAGATGGAAGGGACCTCAGAGAATTGTCCCCTCTCTGGAGAGCTGAGGAGGCCAAGACCCAGAGGGGCAAATGTCTTGTTGGAGGTCCCAAGAATCCACATGTGGTCTCAGTCCAGCGTTGACTCCATCAAGCAATTCTGCCTCCCTAAATATCTTTCTCAATGTTGTCAGTCATCCTACTGATAAAACTTGGTTTTCTCTGGCTTTTATTTGAATGTCCAATTTTGCTTACCTACGGCTGTCCCCAGAAAAAACTCTAAGTATTAAAAAAGCTATTCCCTGTCCACACAGTTTTAATGATTTAGATTTCTTCAGCAAGCATAAGACCCTAGCTTGGTTTTAAATGTCAAGACTTGTCTGTATTTCATTTTCATGTTTAAAGGTTATTCTAATATAAATGGGGACTGGGGGGTAGGCAGAGCAGGAGGATCTCTCCAGCCCTCATGTTGTTTCTTTAATGTGCTAATCCTTCCTTTAGGTCTCTTCATTTTGCCTCTTCGTCATATATTTAATTTTAAACAAACCACTTTTCTCATTTAATTCCCCATTACATTTGTGCCAACACATTTTGGAAAGAAAAATAAAGGAAATATTTGCCCCAGTTAAACCATTCTCCTGCCCCCACAGCGTACCCTTGTGATCTAAACCCAGTTCTCTATCAGCAGATGTTTCTCTAGGTGGAATGTTCTGTGTCCCTGCCAGAAAGAGCCAAGGCTTAATTGAAGGAGCATCTGGTCACCAGCCACTGATGTGAGGAGAAAGAAATCATATTAGAGCTTGTTCTTATCTGGACCAGCTGCCATTCATTTCTTTTCCTCTTTTTCTTCCTTTATTTCTCAAGACTTTGGACCAAAGATGCAGGCCATCTTCCTGGTGCATCTTCAAATCTGTAGAGAGATGTAATATGACTTTAATCTCTTTGGGGGGAGGGGTGTCATTTTTATAAGGTTAAGATGATCAAATCTTTTAATACTTTCCATCCTTATCTCTTTTTAAAATAGTGTCTTTCCTTCAAAGCATCAAGGCATTGTAGGAACAAAGAGAAAAATGTGTTGGAGGATGTTGGTTCTCATTAGATGGTTACAATTTTGGTTGGATCGCTGCCTTTTGGTAAATGGGAGTGATAGTCTAGACATTAACCTAAGGTTGTTGAGGTTCTTCACACACTAGGCCCTCCTTGTCATAAAATTCCTTACTTGAAATTTTACTGTAAAATCATTGGGAGGAAACACATGGAATTCTGTTTAAATTAAAAAAAAAAAAAAACTACCTGAAAAATTAAAAAAAAAAAGTCACTGGGCAGTAGGCTCTACTTAAAGCTTATCATCTGAAGGAGGAAGGAATTTATTTTAAAATCTCTAGTTCAGGGGCGCCTGGGTGGCTCAGTTGGTTAAGCGACTGCCTTCGGCTCAGGTCATGATCCTGGAGTCCTGGGATCAAGTCCCGCATCGGGCTCCCTGCTCAGCGGGGAGTCTGCTTCTCCCTCTGACCCTCCTCCCTCTCATGCTCTCTGTCTCTCATTCTCCCTTTTGCAGATAAATAAAATCTTAAAAAAAATAAAAATAAAAATAAAAAAATAAAATCTCTAGTTCATTCAAGTAATATGACTTCGTATGTAGATTAGGACTATTTCCTGGACCAGGCTCATGGTGCTAAACTGCAGAGGAAAGCATGAAGAAGGAACATGACCTTGGGGAGACTGACCTTAAGAGATGGAGACTTGAGGGGGGTGCCTGGGTGGCTCAGTTGGTTAAGTCTCCCTCTTGATTTCGGCTCAGCTTGAGAAAGACATTGGAGGAGTGAAAAAGCAAAGGGAGGACACTGAAGAAGGAACACAGAAATGGCTGGAAGCAGCTACCCTCCTAGGCTGGAAGAACAAAGGGAAAATGTTGGAGTTATTAGGACATAGAAGGTTGGAAGGGGGCACTGGGACCCAGTTTTCTATGGAAAGGACACTAGGTGCCTCAGAGGAATGTGGGGGGTGGGGGATGAAATCAACTGCCACCTGCCAGGATGGGGCTGTTGCTGGGGCAAGACTGTCATGATGTTTTCCTTTTCCCTTCTGCTGCTAGGAAGCTCAGAGTCCACTGTCAGCAAGTGAGTAGAACTTTGTGTCATTATGGCTGCGGTGATTTTTTTTTTTTTTACTTTATTGGCAATACTTTTATTTCAACATATATTGTGCACTTCTTTGCAAATTTCCTCAAAAACTTTTGGGAAACCACTGAATATTTCTATGTCCATCTAGACTACCTTCATGTGCATCTTCATCTATACATTCAACTAAAACTTCTCTACCTACATTTATACTTCATTTCTACCGCCACGTACGTCCCATCTATACCTCTATCCAGATTTTTATCCTCATCAGTAACCATGAGGGAGACAGGGCCATCCAAGTCTGTCTTTGTAGTTTCAGTTGTGTGTGTTTAGCCCAAAATCTGAATATGAAAGCATAATTAGGAAGGTCTTAACATGAAGATAGCTCCCATCTGCTCTTCAGCCTCCACTGTGTTTCCATGAGAAAGCCTTGCATTGACAGATGTACTAATGGGCCTGTGATATAGAACCCAAAACTTAAAAAGTTCTAACCCATCAAGAAATCTCATTCATCATTTCATTTTTTGGAAAGGATATAAAAAATGAAATGTCAGAGCTATAATGTCAGGACCGTTTAAAATGTCAAGTGCTTGTTGTTCCATAGCCTGGCTGTCTCCTCTTCTGATCAAACCCCCAACTGGCATAATAATTATAGATGATGCATCACATTTTCATGCACAACTGGACCCAGATTTATAACAAATCAGTGGAAACGATCTCATTGCCCTGCCTGAAATTTTCTCCTTTTACTATATAGCTTAAGACTTTTCCTTTGGAGCAGAACATTATTACTGATTCAAGACAGGATTCAGGGTAAAGAATAAGGGAAAAAAGGGAAGAAGAAAGTTTCTCCATAGACCAGAACTTGGTCATTTATAATACAGAGATACAACGGGAGCCAAGAGACAGCAAACACATTTGCCGAACGCATGTTAAGAAGAATATTAAAGTATGGAGACACTGCCCAGATCATCCAGTTCTATTTTAAGACTCAGATTAATTTAGGTGTGCAAGGAAACATATATGTGAGCTCTATTTTGAACAGATATGGAGACAGTCCTTCAGGTTAATCATGTTTTAATCTGCAGAGAAAGTACTAATATATAGACAGAAAAGCAACAATTCTTTTGTCTGTGATTTTTATGGAAGTCTTCATGGGACTTAAGTGATGTATTCACAAGCCAATACCAATTATAATAAAAACCTGAAATCAATAGCATGTACGTGGGAGGATTTCATTTCTTCTCAACTGAAAGTCTTGTATCCACTGGAAGTCGGAAAAGGCATTCTCACGGCTCACCACTGCTTCATTTCCCCCTTCCCTAGATCAGTCTTCTCACGTGGTTTGAAGGAAGCCTCCCTTCTGTGTCTGTTTCTCATTATAGATTACTTTCAGTACATTGGAAAAGTCAAAGCTCTTGGAAACAATCTCCAGAAGATCCTGATCTTTTTCCGTGCCATTGATAAATTCTTCTAAAGTCAATTCTCCTAGAAAATAATAAATGAACAATTAACAAGAGGCTTTGTTCATACCAATCACTGGTGTATACAATATATTCCCAGATACTTTCCTTGATATTCTTCTGACATTTTTTTCACCTCAACCAGACTCTAAATTCTTTGAATATCCTTATATAGAAAAGCATTCAATGGTAGGGTTGCCAATGAAAATGTAGACGACAAAAGCAGACTATTTTTTTTTTTTAAGAGAGAGAGAGGGAGGGAGAGAGTGCAAGCGGGGGTGGGGGGAGGGGCAGAGAGAGAGGGAGAGAGAATCTCAAGCAGGCTCCATGGCCAGCACAGAGCCTGATGCGGGGCTGAAATCATGACCTGAGCCAAAATCAAGAGTCAGACGCTTAACCAACTTAACGACCCAGGTGCCCCAAATACAAACTATTTTTAAGTTGAGAACATCAGCAATGCATTTGTGTTCACATACACATTCACGTGTCTACACAGTATTGATTATTTGACCTTTAATCTTGAAGATATGACCAAGTGATAGGAGCATGAATATTGCTGATTTCTAAGATCAGGAGGAAATGACACTGTGCAAGGCTGTTTTCAATATTCTTCTCTCAGGAAATAATTTCAGGGACTGTCCAAAGCTGTGAGGAAGGTTAAACTTTTTTTTAAAAGATGTTATTTATTTATTTGAGAGAGTCAGAGACCGAGAGCACAAGCAGCGGGAGGGAGAAGGATGAGCAGATTCCACACTGAGCATGGAGCCTGACTCGCGGCTCAATCTCATGACCCTGAGATCATGACCTGAGCCGAAACTCAGAGTCACACACTTAACCGACTGAGCTACCCAGGCACCCCTAAAAAGGTTAAAGATTTATTCATTCCATGTATAATTATTGGTCAGCCATTTTCTGATTTTTTTTTTAAGTAGGCTTCATGCCCAGCATGGGGCCCAATGTGGGACTTGAACTCATGACATTAAGATCAAGACCTGAGCCAAGATCAAGGGTTGGATGCTCAACTGACTGAGCCACTCAGGCTCCCCTCTCATTTTTGATTCCCAGTGTCATCAGCTTGACTTAAGCCATGGCTGCTATGTTTTGCCACTAGCCTCATCCTACAAGATAACTTTTCAACATTTTGAGGGGATGGGGGGCTTCTCTGCTGACTCATTTGGATTGTAGTTATGAGCTTTATGGTACGCGCTGGATAGCTAGTTCGTGTAAGCATACTCCAAATGCCCCTGTTAATCGCTATCTTGAAAATGTAGAGATCCCATCCTCCCTCTATATTCCCACCAAGCAGAATGTGCAGTGGAATGTGTTGTTTAGTGTTCAAGGTCAGGGGCTCTGGGGATGGCCAACCTGGAGTATCTCCCCTAAAACCAAGGTGTCCAGGTGGCAGACCTTGGTTTCCTTGGAAGTGCTGTCCATGCAAGGAGGGGAGGGGCCCCTGAGAGTTGCTAGGTTAAATTGCTCTAATACTAAACTTGCTGCATATAGATGCCAAAAGCAGATGCTCTGTCCAGTTGGCCACTGCTAGATTCCCTGTACATAAGTTCCCCTGATAAACCTATGTCTTGCCCCACATCAGGCTCCCTGCTCAATGGGGAGTCTGCTTCTCCCTCTCCTTCTCCCTCTGCCCCTCCCCCCGCTCATGCTCACTTTCTCTCTCTCTCTCTCTCAAATAAATAAAATCTTAAAAATAATAATAATAATAATAACCTATGTTTTAATCGTTGTCTCCGGGTCTTTTCTTTGGCCTCACTGGACCACCACCCACCCTAGGCTTAGAGTCTGCTGGGACTTGGCTGCACATGACTGTCTTCAAGTCAAGGGGTAGAGATGTAGTTCCTGATCTCAAAGCGACTGTACCAAACAGGTTTTGTGGATAGGTAGAAGGGCAGCCAAAGACGAGTCAAGAACATTCAGTAACTAGAGAATGTACATCTGGGGCAGAAAGTCAGCAGGACCTGAAATACTTTTTAGTGGATAAAGTCAAATATACAAAACACCATGATAGTGATTCAAATATAAACAAGCATGAATCATCACATTCTCATAAGATACATTCCCTTTGGTTTCAATGGCAAAATTCTAAAACATGTTTTCTAGAGGGAAATTGAATCTTTGTTCCTTATGTTTTCCTTATGCCAAAGAAGTTTGTGCAAAACCCACAGGGTAGGCATGGAGTCATCTCTGTCTCACAGGGAATGTATAACCATGGAATGAGAAAAAGAAAACTGAAAACTGAGAGAAAACTGAAAATGAGGAGTAGTAAGTGTGGGGCTGGGGACGGGCACATGGTGCGGAGTGGTGGGTCACAGAAACCATAAATAACAACAACAAAACAATCCTATGTTTTGCAAAGGGAAATCATAGCTGCTAAATTCCCCACGCAGAAGTTTTTCAGATTTCTAGGGGCTTCGCATGACCAAAAGAGAAATGAGAGTGCAGATGTGGGAACAGAAGTGCATTTTGATCGCTCAGGTATAACACTTGTCCATTGTCACCAGTGCTGCTAGAAGGAGCTGTGTCTGAGGGTGTGGAGGGTAGAGTCACCATGTCAGGTGAAAAGCAACATCAGTTACTGGTGTGGCAAAGAGAGAAAAGATGGAATTTCTTTAAAAAACATTTTTTTCTAATTGGGATAGAATTGACATATAACATTGTTTCAGTTTAAGGTGTACAACATAATGATTAGATACATGTATATATTGCAACATCCATCACCTCACATAAATACACTTTACACTTTTTCTTTTTCTTGTGATGAGAACTTCTACGTTCTACTCCCTTAGCAACTTAGAGGATGGAACTCTTCACTGTTGTTTTTTCACTTTTCTCAAAACCTGTGTGAACTCTGCATATTTGTTTTGTTTATGTTACCTAACCAGTTACCATAAAAAAAATTCTTTTTGAAATTAAGTCAACTTCTACCTATAGCAACTTATAACTTTTACTGTTTCTATTTAAAGTACTTACCTTGAAATTTTCCTCTTTTCCCTCTAGCACTTAGCATTCACTCATTTATTCATCAAACATGTATTAAGCCCCAGCTACAAGTGCCGTTTCCTCCAACGCTATGGTGCTGGAACGTAACAGGTGCTCAGAAAAAGTGCTGACAAATTGCTTCCCTTTATCTGATGTTCTTAAACATTGTTTCCTAATCCCTTTTAATTTGTCTGTGGATTTATGCCCAAACAAATTAAAAGGATGGTTTCTGAATCTGTCTAGAAAGAATCGCCTATGCAGGTCTAGAAGCTTCCCCTCAAAAAATCTACCAGCAAAGAGCCAAAGCCAGTAAGAGGTGACTGAGCTGGAGATCACAGGGCTCAGAGGGATCTAAACCAATGGTTTGAGTTTGTATTATTTTGTTGTATATTTAAAGATACATTTCAGTGTTTGTAGGGCATAATTCAGAAAGTATACAATTTTATTTTTATATGTTAAAATATACATATACTCACCATTTATATCTACATGATTTAGTGTTTTTTGTTGTGTTTGCAGACATCTTCTCTCCTCCTGGGGACCCTGAAGGTCAATGCTCTCCCATCACTCACTACCAATTTCAGCAACTTCATTGATGATAGAGGCTACCTGTGGATATTTTCTTTAGCCTTGTTTTTGCAATCTTGTTGATATTCCTGCGTCCCGTGTTTCTTCCCATTAACATCTTATATTACCTTTCATAACAAAACAAAAAATGACCTCCTACCCCCCTCAAAAAAAAAAAAAGGCAAAATTTACTGTGCATGCTCACATTATCATTGTTGCTCTAAGGAAGTCAGCCTGGTTTTAAAAGAAACCAGCCTGCATAAAAGATTTTTTGTCAGTTCTTCTAAATGAGAACGTGGTGAAACAGTGTAGCAGTGCTGGGAAATTAGCAGAGACAGGAATGGGGGTGGGTCTCAGGAGATGAGAATGACCAGATTTTCAAGGGCGGACGCCAGTGAAGATTTTACACGACACAGTTTTGTAGTCATAAGCAAGGTGGCACTAGCAGCATTTAGCAGCATTTTATAGCCGAGTTTTTAAGTGCAGGAGTTTCTTTTTTATACGAGAAAACCCGATTCCCCCTTCTCCCCTGGTAGTTCTGCTTCTCAGTTTGAGTCACTGTGACTTCCGTGGCTTTTCACAACGTTCCTTCTAGGTAACTGCTCAATAAAGTGTCTTCATGTCCTGTCCCTGTTTTCTTTTACCCAAAATATCTGCCCAATAATCACCTCTTTCATTTCGTCTTTGGCCTTGTTCTGTCTCTTTTCACTTTCATGGTTTATTATTATGAGCTACTTAAGTCTCCCCTGCCCCTGCGCTGTTTGGCACTAGCTTAAACTTGCCTGGACACTTTCTGCACTTGATGTTGTGAACAGATTCTATAAATCTTCCTAAATCAGGTCAAGAATGATTCCTAGGCCGTGCATGGTAGAACGTGGTTTCTATTCTTCCTGCAGGAAAGGCTGCAGAATTCCATGCTTCATCATTTATCCTGACTTGTCTTGCTCTCCTGCCTCTTTTCATTCTTCAGTAACATTGAATATTGAACTTCAATCTTCTGTCATTGTGATTCTCTTCAAGTTTTTCTTCCTGATGCTTTTGTTCATAATATAAGGATAAAAATAGCTTGTTGAATTATTACCATAGTACATGCTCGTGATATAAAACTTAAGCTCTACAAAAAAGTGTAATGAAGTGAAAGAAGTTCCCTGTAACCTCTTTCTGTCCCCCCGTTTCACTTTCCATTGGTAATTAACTCCTGCTAATCAATTGCACTTATATTTTGTGAAGTGGCAATGCATATGCACATATATGTTAATTTCCAAAATAGTCTAAACACCTTTCTTCCTACAGATAACATTGCATGTTGTGGGGCGCCTGGGTGGTTCAGTCGGTTGAGCTTCCGATTCTTGATTTCAGTTCAGGTCATGATATCAGTGTCCTGGGATCGAGCCCTGCATTGGGCTCCCTGCTCAGTGAGGAGTCTGCTTGTCCCTCTCTCCCTCTGCCCCTTCCACCACCATTGTGTGTGCTCTCTCTCTTGCTCGCTCTCAAATAAATAAATCTTTAAAAAAAAAAACATTGTATGTTGTACTTGTTTCTTTTTTATATCTTCCTTCACTTTTCATAACATCTTCTTACCAGACACTCATTCATCTCACAACTATTCATAGAGTAACTGCTATGTGTCAGGAAGTGTGAGCCTGCAAGAAATACCGAAGTACATAAAACAGGAATAGTTCTTGCCCTCATGGAGTTTGTAGATACTCATTTTTTTTTATTTTCATAGCATTTATCCTATGCCTCTCTTTTGATTAATCTTCTAACTTTGATTTGCTAACTATCATGATAATCATGTATAGAATACTTCATAGCTGTTGCGTATTTTTTGTCCCAACATATTTGATGTTGGTCATTCTTTTGTAAACAATTTGCAGTTAAATTGGGATGTTCATATATGTTCCTAAAGTTCTATCCTGTTGTGTTGTGATCTTCTTCATCTTTGGTTTCAATATTCACTGGATTATCAGATACCAATAGTAAGCTTTCTTTTCAGTTTGAAAAATAAAAAAAAAATATTGGCACATAGTCAACACTATTCTGTTATACTTGACTGAACATCTCTATTTTTACCAAACTGACGTTTTGATAACAATGATAATCAACAATTTAAAAAATCTTATTCGAGGTATATATACTTAGGTTTGTACAAAGATGAATATACATTTTCCCCTGTGGTGCTTGCTCCCCTTTTATGTGTGAGTGAAACATTTTATTTTCCTGTGTCAAATACTGGCAAAATCCTTTTATGCTTCTACAAATATCAGCCTTCTATGTCTTCATTACTTCTCTTCCTTGCCTTCTGGTGCTTTGGGCTGTCTTTGTCCAACAGTAGAATTTTAGTGTCCTTTTCTTGATATAGGGAATGACTCAGCTGTCTCTTGATGAGATGGTAAGACAATCTCCAATAATTTGCATATAAAAGCAAATTCTATTAGTTTAGTTGTGTATATGCATTTGCTAAGAAACAGTGGTTCACTGTTGTTCCAAAATGCAGCTAGTTTATTTGATATCTTCATTGTAAAGGCAATGATATACATCTTTTTTCTTTAATACAAGTTTCCATCAGAGGAAATGATTTGCATGATTAGTTCTGTAAGCTATTCCAGAAACCATAATGTATTCTCTCTCTTTTGACATGCTCTTCCAGGTCAAAGAGCCCATTTCCTGGTCTGCAGGTATCCTTAGTTATTGCCCAAGAAAACACCTTCACTCTTCTAGATTTGCATCCTTTTGCAACCCCCTCTTTCTTTTTCTAGGGCCTTCCAACCACATTCCCCCATTTTATTGGTTCTATTATACTTTGTTTGTGAGGAAACTGTTTAGGTAATAAATAGTGAGTCCTGCATCACTTTCTTGTTTTCTGGAACACATTATCTGTTCCCCCACACTAATAGAAATCAAGCCCCTTCTCAAGGATACCACAATCCTCACACTTCTCCAGTAGAGGTCACCTTTCCTTTCCTCCCACTTCCATCCCTAGAAGCAGGATCCAGAGATATTTTCAACATTCTTGACCTGCCCTTTTGACATTCATTGTATTACTAAGTCTTAAACATTCACAATATCCCATCTGTTTCCAGGACACTTATCCTTTGGTCAACGATTTCAGCCCCAGCCTGAAATGTTTTATCATCTCTATTCCAATTCCTGCCATACTGCAGCACTTCTGATTAAAAATTAAAACAGAACAAAACCTACAGCATTTGTCCTGTTTGGTGATCAGAATTTTCAGTTGCATATTTCAAATAAAATTTTCATTGACCTTCTAAGATCTTCCACTCTCCATTTCTCTAGTCCTTGTCTACCTTCCCTTAGTTTCCTTGTCAATTCTGGGTTTTGCAAGCTTTCATCTGAACTGATTTATTTTATCCTCGATCTATATAGACCCAAATACAAGTGATTACAACCAAATGGCTCTGATCTTGGTCAATTAGAAAATGAGCATTCTGAATTCGAAATTGAGCTGAGGCAAACGAGGACTGGGTCCTAAGAGGGAGATTGATACTATTGATACATTTCCAAGTGTTATTCTGAGATTTATACTCTTGTCCAGTCCTTTGGCTCATTCATAATGGCGATTTCATGTGAACTCCCTCCCAGCCTTCTCATCATCCCATCCTGCCAGACTGAGCTGCCACATAAGACTTGGGCAAACCGCCACACTCAACATGGATGTCTACTGCCCTCTACTGTCCATTACAAGAAGTGACCTATGGCGGGCATGTTGGTTCTGTGGAAAAAGTTACCTCGGATTGACGAAAACCATGGCTGGAGTCCCAGTGCCTCATATCCATCCCTTTCCCCCCCTTAAATCACTTATTAACATCATATTTTCCACAATGTCAAACTTTCTGTTTTCAAGGAACATTCCTAGATACGCTGCCTCAATCTCAAATCAATATGCTCCCTTACCGGTTTACTGAGATCAAAGCCATTTGGTGTAAGCACTCCCCCTTCTGGAATGTCTGTGTCTTCCCTTTCACTCAGCCCCTGAAGAAGTTACCTTCTCTGAACTAAAGAGGAACCCAGATTTTAGGGTAACAATAGAAGATGGAGAAATGAGCGGAAAGAGTAGAAATGCAGAAAAGGTACAAAGAACAGAAATGAAGGCAAGTACAACTCTTCCCAGAAGTGTATAGTCAAAGGGAAGGAAAAAAATCTGATAGTAGAGGAAAATCACACAATTGAAGAAATGATTTTTATAGTATGGAAAACTTGAGTTTATTTGCAAGTTGATGAGACGCTTCCAGTAGAAAGGAATAATTACTAGAACATAACCCAGAGCGAACAGCATAGTCCTTCATATCATATTCTTCCACTTTTCTTTCCTTGTACCTCCCTTTACTCTTGTTCATATTTCCCTAAGTGTCAAGCATCATGTATATATATATATATGGTCAATAAATATTCCGTTGAATTGTACTGACTGGAGAACATTGAATTGGCCAAATTATGAAGCCCAAGTGATATCACAACTAGGATTTTCTTGAAAGGTTCATATTTCTGCCTAAATGGCATTCCCACCCCCACCATCTCCTACTTTGTAAATTAAAAAAAAAAAAAAAGTGAGCCCAAGGAGAGTAATTGCCTTACCATCATTATTTATATCGATCTTATGAAACACCAAGTTAGTAAATTCTTCAGGACTCAGAGTTTGCTGGCCATTGAGGGTTTGTACAGCCTGCAGAGAAATCAAATCAGGGAGTACAACTTTGCTGGAAGCAAATACATTTTGTGACATTTCTACCCTCAATGTGACAGAATTTGAGGATATGTTCATGTCATTTTGGCTGTCCAACCTGTTCTAGTTGTTAAAAATAAATAAAAAGATTATATGTCAGTTCAGGGTAATGAGGTTTAGAAATTTAATTAACTGAATACAATCTGAAGTTTGATATTATATGGGACGAAGGGATCCATTCAACATATTAGGTCACAAAAGATGCAAAAAAGCCTACTGCAGAAAAAAACTGTAGCGGCCACTGTCATAAGAATTCTGGACCTAGAAAACAAACAATAATCTCAACTTCAGACCAGTTATAATTGATCTTATGGAGAAACATGAAAGGATATTCTGTAAGCATCCAAGGCTTCCCCTCCAGCTTCTGACACTAGCATCTCTGGTCCTTTTTGCCCTTTTGTAGAATGATCGACTGGGAAGACAGATATGTATGCCTTGGAAGGACACTGAATTTCTCTCACATCCTGCCAGCACCTTTTCATCATAAAGGCTGTCAGGGGACCCAGAGAAAATGACATTTCCAGCTTTCCTAGAGGGGAAATTTAACCATGCTCTCCTTCTCCCCCACCCTCAGGTGATGAAATTAAATGACCAATATTTGATGTAAAAATTCATAATAAAATGAAAGAAAGATGGAGAGAGAGAACGAGTAGTCATCTGGGAATTTGAACATAACTATCTTGACTGAACATGAAGGGATCTTCAGAAAAACCACTGACAACATATTTTAATTGAGGGCATGGTCTGCAATAGGACTATCTCTTCTGCTGCTTCTTAAGCATTACTGAAGCTGAATCCAGGATCAGTCAGAGCGAACAGTGGTAATGCACCACTCCTGGCCTTAGCAAGTCCAGGTCTCACGGTTAAATATACAGGAATACTTAGAATAATGGTTACATACATGTAGTATCCTATTAGATGAACGTTTTTAGGGTTCCTCGGTGTCTTGGCAGAGGTCCCAAAAGCCTAGAAAATTTGGCTAGGCATCCAGTATTCCCACAGCCTGAAGGGATACTAGACCACATGAATACGTCATAATAAAAGATTATGCAATTTCTAGGATTTGTCTGTCACCCATCACTGGGCAATATAAGTGAGACTGAAGGATTGATGGAAGGTTGACGAGGCCTGAAGGGGTATTTTCGGAGGGAGTCGTCAGTGTTTCCTGTGTTTTCCCTCTTCTTACAGAAGAAACATGGTTGGGGGATGGGTCAGGAGGCATGGGTTGTTTCCTTCTTTCCTCCCTCATTTAGCATGTCTGCACTTTCTCCTGCATTTTGATAAGGACCACTTCTGAGCGGGAGCAGGAGGAGGTAGGAGAGAAGGGGGAGCAGGACACCTCTGACTTGGCAGGCACTGTCATGGCTACCGACTGTCAGAGCTCTCTGGATGGCAGATGTTGGAAATTCCCTCTTTCTCTGAGACCATGTTTCCCCTTCATTACTGAGACTCTCCTGCAATTCCCTAGATGTGCATCATGCATTTTGATTCCAGCTGACCCCTCGAGGCTCCTTCTACAAGTTCTAGGTCTGAGTTTCTCAACATCTGCACAATTGATATTGCAGACTAGACAATTCTTTCTTGTTCGGGATTGTCCTGTGCATTGGAGAATGTTTAACAGCCACCCCTGGTCTCTAAACAATGGATAGCATTTGCACCACACCCTCCTCCACTCACCGCCCAGCTGACAACCAAAATGTCTCCCAACATGGCCACATGTCCCCTGGGGGAGTAAGAGTGCAACCTTGCTCCTGGTTGAGAACCACTCTCTAGTTCTACCTCCAGCTCCCTCTACTTCTGAGGTGCCCTCACTTCTCCAAGTGGCTCAGCTGGACAAGATCCAAGACAACTCCATGTCAACTTCCCCACCCCCCATATCTGATCTATGAAAAAACCTCCGTCCCAACTAATTCTAGGCATGAGATACTTCCCAAACAGCATCCCTCCACTCCGCTGCCATGGTCTGTTTCATATAGATTTCTCAGATTCAAACACTGGAACACAGTGTTCCCCAAACCTCTATGGTCTCCTTAAATTCCCGTGCCGTGGACTTGAAGTCTCTTACCCAAGAAATCCTCTCTAATAATTCTTCTTAAAAATTCTCCTGACCATTTTATGTCTTTGAAGTGAAATTAAGATGTAACTACATCTTTGTAAATTTTGCCTATAATCTAGTACTTCCTTTGGATCTTTTGATGGTTGGGCTGTATTTTATTTCAACATCCTGTAATCATGTACTGAGAGAACTTCTATTAAACAGCATGTATTATTCATTACCCTATTTTTTTCACTTGCTACCACAAACATTTGTTGATACTCATTTTTTGTAAGTACATATTCCATTGCATTAATTTATTTAAAACTTTTCTTCTTTTAAGTCATTTATTTTTAGTATCTTAGTGACTGTGATGTAAATGATAGAACTTTGATCTTTGATGATGTTAATGATTGTTTTTTCTGACCAGAAATGTTGACTCTAAAATAAAGATAAACTTTTAGCCTCTTGATGCAGATTACCAAATTTCCAGGAATGTTCTATCCATTTATACTCCCTCCACAAGTATGTAAGGGTGCTCTTCTTACAGTGCCCTTGCCAGAATTAAATCTTATTCTTGTTAATTTTTATTAATTTCATTGGAGACAAATAGTATCAATTATTAATTTTTGCCCTGTGCTTTTATTATTTGTTTCCTTATTTCTTTTTGTTCTCCTTTTAACACTTTAAGAAAAAAACTCAATTAGCTACTTAATATTTCTCTTTTCTTTACTCATTAATGGAAGTTACACATTTTAACTAATGAAAACCTGTGCAAAAATTTCCATAAGATTTAGACAAAATCATTTTATCCTTTCATTCTTCCTAATTCTTTTGAGAATTTGATGACCCTCTACCTCTCCCCCCAAAAATGGGTAACATACAAGAAAAAATTTGCACTCAATTTCATGGTCTTCAAGGATTCCCAAAGGCCACAGATCCATAGATCCCAGGATATGAACCCTTGCTCTGAGTACTGCTTTGGAGGCATCCCCCAATATTTGTATGCTATATTACATATTTAATTTTTTTAAATAAATTTGAATATGTTTATTTAAGAGAATATTCTAAAATTTACATGTGGTTGGGCAGTCTCTAGAGAATATTCTGGATTCCTAATTTTGTGTTGCAATATGTAATATGTATACAGAATTTCAGAATTTTAATGCTTACAAAATTCAGTTACAAAGTGCATCTTAGCACTTTTTTGTGAATTACTTGTGTGAGATTAAAGTGGAAGCAATATTAATATTATCATACTCTTGAATTCTTTGCATATGTTGGTTAACTCTACATTTGATAGTTTTAAATTTTAACAGGTTTGAGGTGTTTAATTATAATCGTAGTTCTACCCATTTATTTTTCTTTACATTGTTGCTAATATTTATACTATGTATTATGTTTGTAACTCAACTCCTTCATCTATAAATGGAAGAATTTGGACCAGATCATTTCTAAGACCTCTGATTCTAATTCTGACTCTGTGTTACAAATTCACTATATCGCATTCATAATGTTTATTTTACTTCACATTCTCACTTAGGTACAGTGTCCCATTTAATCATCTTTTACTCTAGGATCCATTTCATCTCACACCATGATAATAACTATTCCCAATTCCATGATGGGGGGGGGTTGAGATTTATAAAAGGACTCATTGAACTTTAGAGCTGGAAAGGATCCCAGGATCCTTGAGCTACCTATTAGAAATACTTTAGTCCAACCCCCAGAAAGATTGATGCCCAGCTTTCTTTGTTCTTAGTCCATGGCTCTTGCTATACAAACCATCTAGTATTTCAGCTGTTCCTCACAAAACTTTCTGCACCGATGCAGACAAAAAGATAAATTGTTTTAGAATATCATGTTTATTTCATTTTTCATCTCAGTACTCTGCTACATCTGTGAATTTGAACACCAACAAGAAAATGCTGGTTTGCAGGTGCACACTCAGTAACCAATAGCATAGAGAAACTTACATGGCTCCAGTGGTTCCAAATGTATATCCCAAGAGTCACCAACCACATAGACAGCTGTTGCCAGCTCCACAGGGAAGAAAATTACATTAACTATACAATGTCCTACAAAGTTCCTTCACTACTTCACTTACCATGAAGATGTTCAGTAGTTCCTTTTTGTCAATAGAACCATTTCCATCAACATCATACAGTTTAAAATACCATTTTAATTTTTGCTCCATTTTTCCTCGTATAACTAAATTTAAAGCAGCAATAAACTCTAAAAAGTCAATAAATCCATCCTATGGAAAGCAAGGTGGAAGGGGAAATCAATATCTAAGAAAAACAATTGTTTTTTATTTGAGAAGTCACGGTTCATGAGCAGGACCATTAGCACAAATTAATACAACCCACAAGATTTCAGAATAGAACTTTTCCTGGCACTTTGTTAAACAAACAAACAAACAAAAACATGGGTGATGTGTATAGAAACAAGTAACTTTAAATATATAGGTAAGTGTCTTTTTTAGAGAAAATATCTACTCCTTATGTCAAAAAAAGGGGAAAAGTTCTGAAATGCCGTGAGGGAAGGCTGTGTCCTCACCACCAGACATCCTACAAAGGCTGTCTTCTCCTGAGTATCTTCAGGTTTTGTTGCCTACTCAGGAGAAGATGAGGGACCAGTTTCTAGTAGAAAGGAATTACCAAGGAGCTAAATTCTGTACTCCTTTTTAGAGAGCCCGGTTGATCTTTTTGGAATGCTTAACTCTGCGATTCCTTTTAAGTATGTTGTTTTCAGTATGAATCAAGATTTATGAGCCTCTTTTCTGTAAAGATTTTGCCATATTAGTCAATCTTAGAAAAGACTTTAAGGCTCTCAAGCTTAGGCAGTTCCCCTCATCCTGTTTTAAACGGGTAAAACACTCCCAGTTGGAACAGAAATAGTGGGTATCATTCTTAAGACTCACACCCTTCAAACCTTGCTCAGCCAAACGCTCAACCATCTTAAGAAAGGTGACCAGCTCCAGGAGGTGTGTGCAACTCACTCTCTGCTATGTTCCCGTGGGAGTTCAGACGCCAGCATATTCAGCCCAAGAAAACATGTTGTCAGCTGCATCCTCCTTGGAACTTTGGAATGTAGAGTCCTATTTACAAACCAGGATGTGACATAAAGTACTCCCTTTCCCTTGGATATAAAGGGCTTGAGAATTATCGGCCTGTAAAATGGTATGTGTTTGCTTTGAGGCTCAAGCTTTTGTGTCTAGCCTATAAGAAAAGCAAATGAAAAATCACCAGTAGTTCTGGATGTGAAGCAAAGCCTGCTTGCTGGTTAACAGCTCTTTGTTTTATTTTACTTTGCTTGTTTTGTATGGTAGACTACTACAATATCTTGGCTATTAAAAGCCAATGTGCTAATAACTATAGCATTGTCTTCAAATGTATTATTTTTTAAAAATTCTCTACAATATATAATAAAAATATCATAAAATATTTTAAAATTTTACTTCATGTATTAGATTTTTACATTTTACAGCTTAGATATCTTCACCCTATCAATAACTTTAATACTTCTTATAAGTGATAAGACTTCTACTAACAGTTTGGAGTCTGGTTGAATGAATCTCCTAAAGGAAATTTACTCAAGTCTACAAAACATAGCTGGTTTTACCTTTTCTCCATCAGCCTTTCTTACTGTTTGTTACCACTTCACCATATTAATCCCTAGCCTACTATGGCTGAGGCAAGGGAGATATGTTATCATAGAGTGGAAATGTATTTAAGATGACATCAAGATATCTTCCGATTTGGCGGGACATGACCATTATTTTTCAGTGACGAGACCGGCAGGTGCAGAGGATAGAAGTTGGGTGGACAGTATCCAATCAGGGCACATTGGCTCCCAGGTCTTCCTCCTGCGTCTCTTAGTGCTGACCAATCAATACAACTGTTCCCTGGGTAGTCCTTATGTGTGTTTGTCCAAAGGTTACAGAAGCGTCCCCCCTGAGAAGGCTGAGTTAGCTTGCTATAAAGTTTCCATAAAAACCTTTATTTTGTGAGGGTTTGTTTCACTTCTCGAGTCTTGCTTCAGTGATCACAGTTTTTGGCATCACCTGTATGATGAATGGCAACAGACTAGACTGAGTAATGTTGACTTTAGAACATTTGGTATTTTATGATTAAGCAACAGTGGGCAGGTGGCCCTAACTCCTTCCAAACCAGGCTGTGGAAGCTCTGAGCAAACTATATCAGGAGATGAGCACAAATATTTTCATTGTATGGCTTTAAAATGGACAATCCTGCTAATCTACAACCAAAGTTGATGGTGGGTAAGGAAGGAAGCCTTTTCTACTTAGACAAGTGCAGGCTTTGGCAAAATTTCCTGCAAGCAAAACATTTTCTGTCTTTATTTTAGCATTCCGTTATGTAATTAGACAAATTCTTAGCCATCTACAGCCAACTCTTCTTTCCAATTATCTTTCTGGTAAGATTTTGTAGAAATTTACATCAGTGAGACAACTCTGGTGAATGTGATTTAATGGCTTGTGTTAGTGTTGGAGAGAGTTTTAGGTAATGCTTATTCTGTAAATCAGAAGATAAGGTAATTATTGCCTTCGGGTAACCTCTAGTTTTCAAGCCCAGGGTGGGGAGGTGGATAAAAACCACAGAGAAGGTGAGATGTTCCTGCAAATGTGACTAGGAAGAATGCAATAGAGGATGTTCAAAGACTTTTCTTTGAGGCTATCCAAGGGAACCACTGTTAAGTTCATATTGCTGTATTTGAGCCACCGGAGTCCTTGTGGCACATAGAACTGTCTGGAGATGTCTGATACCGATTGGCCTTGCACCAGAGTAGGGTTCATAAACTCCCTGCATCATAAACACAAGGGGACAATGAAATATGCAGATTCCTAGAACCTGACCCCCAAACAACACCATCAAAACTACTTGGGTTGGGGCCCAAGAGTCTGCATTTTAAAATGCTCCCCAGGGAAGTCTGATGTATCCTAAGATTTGGGAACCACAGACCTAAGCTGTTTTTCTTATAGATGTCTTCTTTTGTAGGCAATGTTATCATCTAGGTATCTAAGTGGCTGTGGTAATTGTGACTTATTCTCACTTGAATTTATATAACCTTATTAAGACTAATTAGAAAAAATATGACCCACATGGTTCAGTCGCAGAATGACGCAGGCATACAAATCCAGCCCAGCAATCAAAAATTAATTTCAAAATAACAGCAAGTCTTTACTTTCATTTCTGGAACAAACACAAGTTGCAAGAAATGTATGGATTTCTTCACAACACCCCCTTCCTCTCCCATCTGCTCCCGCACATACGTCCTGCTGCTCAACCTTCAGCAATCTCCACTGCCCGGTGTCTTCACAGCCAGCCTGAGCACGAGAACACTTCAGCCTTTCACTCTCCCAATGTGTCTCATAATTCTGCACCAAAATCCTAAAACATTAGTTTGGCAATGGCAGGATCCTCCTTTGAGGTTGAGGGCAGGGAGAAAATTGGGCCCATTCTCATGAGCCTCAGAGAAGGAGAGTTTGGGAGCATGTGTACAAAAATCATTTGAACCCCAACACATTTATAGATTTATACATTATGTTCTTGGGGTGGAGTTGGTTAAAGGGAAGAGTTAAACAGGGCCAAGATATGGAAGCATGACAGTTCCTTGGGCTCCAAAAGGAGTTTGGTCCATTAACACATTATGAATCATTTTGTAGAAGGCGGTGAAAACAAGAGAGAGAAAAAATATATGGAGACTTTAAATCCAAGCTTTCTCGTGGTTTCTAAAATGTATGGGAACTATAAGGCATACTTTTTACATCTATAAAGAAAGTATAAAAAGATAAAAAAATATGTAAGACTTTCTGTTCTTTCTTTCTACCATTAAAGAGATGAAACTTTAGAAGTCTAATACAATAGGGGCGCCTGGGTGGCTCAGTCGTTGGGCGTCTGCCTTCGGCTCGGGTCATGATCCCAGGGTCCTGGGATCAAGCCCCACATAGGGCTCCCTGCTCAGCGGGAAGCCTGCTTCTCCCTCTCCCACTCCCCCTGCTTGTGTTCCCTCTCTTGCTGTGTCTCTCTCTGTCAAATAAATAAATAAAATATTTAAAAAAAAAAAAAGAAGTCTAATACAATAAAAAATAAGGAAAACAAAATCTATTCTGTTCTAGTCAGCAGAAAATCCACAGGTGGAATTATGTGGTCTCCAGGCAGGGTTCACAACCTGCCATAAATTACAGTTGCTTTCAGGATATGATCAATTTGAAATGCAGATAGAAAGTTAAATTATAAAACGTATATGCATATGAATCAATTATTTTATTATTTATTACTCAGTATAAAAGCTATAAAATCTATCGTATATATATTTCAAGCACTGTGCTAGTCACTTTCCAAGCATCATCTCTAATTCTAACAGCAACCTGACAGGCAGCCTTATTATTCTTAGCTTACAGAGGAGAAAACGGATTTTCAGAGAGGCTAAATAGACGAGTTAAATAACAAAGTTAGGACATAGGTGGATCTAGGATTTAAATACAGTTAGCCTTACTCTAAGGCTTTTGTTCTTTGTACCATCCAGTATTTATTGCCCTCAAAACACATTACAACCGAATTCTTCTTCTGAAAGGGGTGTCCATACAGATGGGACACATTCAGTGCAGCGTGTTGTTCTGGATTCACATGGGTAGACTATTTGGCAATACAGTCGTATAAAATAAGGTGACCCAATGTCTGAAGATACTACACCTTGGTGCCTGTGCTTCCTTCATACCTAGTGCTGCCCAAGGGACAGCTGGCCTGTGTGGTCTGAGCTGCTTCGTCTCAGGGACACTGTGAGCCCAGAGAGCTCTTGGAGCCACCACTTCCAGATCTCCCTTACCTGGCTTGCAGAACCATCTGGCTCAGTGGGACAAAAAGTGTTCTCTCTCCTCTTGCCTCTCCTGCTTCTTGGTATCTTTGATGAACACTTCTGTCCATTTGGGAATCCTTAGCCCCCTCGCCCTACCCAAGGATTTAGCCTCCAGCACCCCAGAGACAATAGCCCTCCCGGCCTATGTTTCCCTGGAAATTTCCCCACCTGCCCCTCCAGGAACAGAAGCCCACACACTGGTGTAGCTAACCCTGTTGTGTCTTCACCTCTGCTCTTGGCTAAGTCTCTACAGTGTCCCTTTGCTCTGCGGCTGGTACTTGCTTTGGCTCAGCATTTCCCCCTCTTCAGGGCCTCACACCTGCATTGCAGCCCTGACTAACCCCTCCATTCTCCCCACTTGGTAAAACACCCAGGTAA